TAAATGAGCTTGAAAGAAGTATTCGAACAACATCCATGGAGGTCTTTTAAGAAATTCAATGAAGCTGCAAAGAGTTCGGGATTTACTAACAGAGCTGAAGTGAAAAGGTTCTTTAACAAAAATGTTGTACATCAAACAAAAATAAACCCTTACGACTACTTTTTACCAATTTACTCCAACACTCCTGACGCATACCAATTTGACACTCTCATTCAAAGCAGAAAAGGAGGACATAAACCATTCCTCATCTTCATAAATGTTAACACTCGTAAAGCATATGCATATCCAATGAGGAACAAAGGAACTCGTGAAGTGTTAAGAGTTTTACAAAAGTTTGTAGCAGAACATAACCCAAGTACTTTAACATCAGACCAGGATTCAGCATACCTCAGCAACGAAATCACAGAATTTCTCATTAAGCATAACATAACTCACTACACTACTGAAGACCATAACCATAACATACTCGGCATCATAAACCGCTTCATAAGAACGCTCAGAGATTTAAACCAAGAGCGAGACTTTACCGAAGAAACAATGAAGCATTTTCTCGAAGTATATAATTCCTCAACACATTCTACAACAGGACATACACCAAATTCAATGACACAACAACAAGAAGAAAAGTATATACAAAAGAAACGAAGCCAAACACAAAATATCAGAAATTCAACACAATTTACCCTCATTCCTGGTACAAAAGTTCGTGTAGTTCTTGACGACAAACCATTGACAAAGAAACGTTTAAGGTTAAGTCGAAATTATTATATCGTAGACTCTACGCAAGGTAATGGATATCTTATAAAAGCTGCTGACGACTCCATAGCGTTTTACCCTCGTCATAAATTAGTCGAAAGTAGTAATGGCAAACTTGCTGAAACCATTGACGAAGCAAAGCGAGGAGTGGTTATTGAAATACTTGGCTATAACACAAACGATGACACTTATAAAGTAAGATATGAAGGAGGCGTTGAAGATGTTATACCATCTAAGAACTTGAGAGAGTCGAAGCCAACACATCTGGGACCATTAGAGCGGGAGTACTGGAAAGACAAAAATATGCCAGAAAGAATAAGAAAATTCTTCTAAACTTTTTCATTAGATGTAAATCAGACAAAGCATTTACCAGAAAGAATAAGAAAATTCTTCTAAACTTTTTCGTTGGATGTAAATCAGACAAAAATATATTTTAGTTGAAGAGATGAGATTTCACCTGTTTTTTCACCTGTTTTCTCACCTGTTTTTTCACCTGTTTTTTCACCTGTTTTCTCACCCTCACCACTTAGCGGCTCAGACCCTTTGGGTCTCGTGAATTTTCATGAATTTCCTTAAGATAGAAAAAATAAAGTTAGTTTTATTTTTATTTATTTTTTTATCTTGTATGTAAAGATATGATTTCAACAATAGGTTCTACAACAATTCAAACAACTACAGCACCAAACTCTTTAGTCATGAATCCTACATCTATGTTAGTAGAGATGAAAAGCTTCATTCCTTCTTCATATACTTTTGAGACAGAAATACAAAGAATTAAGCAAGAACTTTTAACAAGTAATTTCGACTGTAGTGCGAAAGATGAAACAAATGAACAGTATCTTTATGACATGCAGGACATTATTGACCATTTACCCAAATTGCCTGAAATCCAACAAAAAAGCTCACTATTCATGAATTCGATGAAATAGAAGTGAAACCAACTGACTCAGTAGAAATAAAGAAGTTCATACGTAAAGTAAACTATGAGTTTCTAGGATATCATTGCAACCATAAAGTTATGGACAAAGATTGCGACATGGTATATAAGAACATCTCTGACATATATAAATCTGGGGAGTTTAAGACATACGACAACTTTGTTTCATTAGTTGCTGAATGTGTATGGCAGATAAGAGATAAAGATAAAAGATGTAAAATATGGAATGGACAAATAAAACCAACAACTTTTGAGTTAAAGAAAACCATTGACGCCTTAGTTGTTCTAGCAGGTCAAATTTCAATGTATAACGCAAAAATGAATCCGCAATGTTCAAAATGTAAAGCAGCAATAAGGAAATATAACTACTCCGTCAAAGAGATAGAACGTATGCGAAACGACTATGCTGACTTAAAGAAAGAAGTAGAGAAACCAGCAGAAGATAAAATGGACATGTTAGCATTTCTGAACAAAAACTATCCAACAGCTGACGATTTCCTATTATCTGATGTCAAGAAGAAGTATAAAGAAACTTTCGGCATTGTTAAAACTTTTGACATACTGACAGAAGAAATAGAAGCTACGAAATTGTTTAGAATTTCAAATATACATCGTACAATTCATGTAAAACGCTTATAAAATAACTGGGTGAAAAATTAGGTGAGAGAAAACAGGTGAAATCTCACCTCTTCACCTAAAATATATTTTTATTGAATTCAGCAACAAAAATCTGAGTAAAATAATTTTTAGGGCATGTGTCAAACCGTTGAGTTTTCACAAAATTTAAAAAATAACGTTTACCATGTAAAACGCTTATAAAATAACTGGGGTGAAAAATTAGGTGAGAAAACAAGTGAAATCTCACCTCTTCACCTAAAATATATTTTTATTGAATTCAGTAACAAAAATCATGAATTTTCCTTAAGATAAAAAAATAACGCTAATTTTTTTCTAAGAAAAATTTTTATTTTGTATGTAAAGACAGTAATGACAAACATTGAGTTTGAAACAGTTAGAAAGATAGACAATGACACCAAAGTGGTTAGAATAGGTGATTTAAACGTAAGATACTCAAAGAAATACAACAAATATTCTTTGTCAGACATTATATCTCCATCTGAAAAGAAAACAAACCATTGGGTTAGAAATGCTTCAACTCAGAAAATTTTGACAAGAAATCCTGAGCTTATGATATCAGTAAGATTCTATGGAACTACAGCATATCTCATTGACAAAAGTCTTATACCAATAGTTTTGTTATGGATTGACCCAGTTGTTGGATATAACTTCATAACTTATGGTTCATTCGATACGGAACGTTGCAGTGAAGGCTTACTTTACATCGTTCAGAAACCGAAGGACTTCAATACAAAGAGATATAAGATAGGAAGAACATATAATATAACTCAAAGATATGACAGTACAGTCAATAGAGTCAAGGTTGTGTTCGTTAATGATATGAGAGCTGCAGAAACAGAACTACTTGAAAAGTTTGAGAAAATGTATGGTGCTCCCATGAAAGGTAAAGAAACGTTTGAAGTAGATGAGATAGATAAAGCTATAAAATTATTTGACGAAGTTGCTGAAAAATACATGTAAAGCGTTTATTTTTGGTCTTTTGTGAAAGTCAGAAAATAAAGTTAGTTTTATTTTTATTTATTTTTTTATTTTGTATGTAAAGACAGTAATGTCAACATTAGAGAACACAACAACTGCTATCGTTCATGAAGCCATAAATGAAGAATACGAATACATACAATATAACAAACAACTTCGCCTCATTCGTTCGGTCAAAGATGACATGTACCAAATGCAAAGTATAATGAATGCTCTTCGTTCTACAAAGCAAGCATATCATTGGTTTGAAAACCAACAGACAAAAGAACTTTTAGAAGAATTTCCTCATATGATTGCTTCCCTCGGAAAACCGAGAGAAGAGATTCCATTCGAAAATCGCAAGAATTTGGCACCTGGTTTGAAAGGTTATTATGTTCATAGACTTTTAGTAAATGCTGTAGCAATGTGGGCTTCACCTCGTTCTGCTTGTTATATTTTCATGATGTTAGATGAACTATATAAAGCAGAACGTGGAGAGATGGAAAAGAAACTTCAAGCAAAAGATGAAGTCATTGAATCCAAAGACAAAAGCATACAGAAAAGAATACCACGTTCAGTACCAAAAGGAAAGGAAAAAAGCTATAAGTATATGATTTACGCTGAAGAGATGGAGAAAGAAGAAGATAAAGATATGGTTATGTTGCATTTAGTCAGAAAAACAACAAGAGCTTTTATGACTTAGCTAAAATATATAAATCTGACAGAAACTGGTTCTATCGTGAAAACTTACCGATTTCAATGACACCGAATGAGCAAATAAAGGAAATTGTCAAAAGTACTCTTCCTCAAACACACTATGACATCAAAGGTTGCACAATACTTACATTCAAAGAAGACTTACCATTACTGAAGGAAAAAATAACAGAATATTTCGATAACTTCAAAGAGGAAGAATAAAAAAATCTAAGCTAATTTTATTTTTTTATAAAATTTTATCTCATATGAAAGAACATGAATTTAGAATATTCGGAACTCATGACAGAAGAAGAGAACGAACAACATGTAAAAGATTATGCAAAATTTCTGAAGGTATATAAAGCTTATGAAAAAGCGTATGAAAAGTTTATACATTGGGGAATTGTTGTAAAATATCGATATGAAGACTAACCAAAAATATATTTTTGCTTAAATAGCTTCAGGGTCAATTTCTTCAACCATTTCACTTCCTTCGTCAATGTCAATAGAAGCTTCTTCAACCTTTGGTAAGAATTTCTGTATAACATCTTTGTTCGTTATTGTCTTCAGAGATGAAGGATAATATTTCACATTTGTTTCACCCTTCTTATATTCTTTCTGTTCGGAAAGATTCATAGCAATACTGAAGAAGTCAATGTTAGAGTTCTTTATAACAGTATAGTGTGTATCTTTGACATTCATGAAGAAACCCTTTTGTTTCAAAACTACTGCTAACTCTTGTGAAGTATAACGTTTGCGGTCAATGACAATAGCTAATGGTCTGACATACTGACCAAACTTAGATTCTTTCACAAACTTCTTGTTAAAGATAACATTAACGTTTGAAGCACCATTGAACTCATTCTTGATGGCAGTAGCGAGAGCATTGTATGAAAAGAACTTGCAATCTTGCATGTGTTTCATTAAAATAAAAATATTAAATTATTTTGAAAAATAACTTAAAAAATGTAATCTAATTTTTTTAAAAAAAAATATTTTTTATTTCCTACTAAAGATGTATCGGAAGTTGTCTAAGTTAGAACACTCGGAAATAAAACAACTTCTTACAGAAGCTAACATAGAAGTAGCAACACATTACGCGACAAACAAAAAAGCACTCGCTGACATCCTCAATGACTACAATGGTGAAATAACTTATGATAGAATTCATGAGTTCATAAAGCCGCAACGCGGCGAGGACGAAGTCCATGCAAGAACTTTTCCTTTAAATGACGTTGCTATTGACTTATATCATAGACGTTCAGTACCTCATGAAGTAAGAAGAGAAATGTTTGACATAACAAATGCAAACGTTGGTGAAACAAGAAGAAGAGACGACACACTGAAACAACAGAGAAGAGAGATGTTTAAAAGTGCTATAGAACAAGTTCGCAAAACTAATGATGTCATTCGTTCCATTGACGACAAACCAAAAGAAGGTGAGAGATGGTTAAAGAAAGATGAAGAGAATAGGAAGAGGAATGTGAAGACAGGTAATAGACTCATTGACTTTAACATCGAAGCTTTAGATGAACCAAACAGAGAATATTTACATAAACATTTCGGTAAGGTTTTCATGAGACTCTTAGAGAAAATTAAAATAAACTCACAACAGAGATGGATGGTATGTTATAAACTTGGTGGAAAGTATGAATGTTCTACGTTAAACCTCAATAATATTGGAACATTACTACATCAGCTCTTGAAGGAGAACTTTATATCAGAGATAGAAGCAAATGCCGCAGGTATTGTTGAAATGCACTATGACTTCTTCTTGACAAACATAAAGAATCTTACCGAAATAAAGATGTATGATTTAACAGAATATGAAGGCTTAACGATGTCAGATGTAAAGAAAGGCAAACCAAAAAAGAGACCATATAGAGATGAAAGCACACTGACAAATGACCAGAAAGCCATTTTGGAAGCTCTTAAGCAAACAGGAAACCCAGCACTTATAGAAAGCTTTTGGAAAGATAATGGTGAAAAGAAGTTTTATAAGAAGAGAAGCGGTCAGTTCTGGAAGTATCTTTGCACATTACCTATAAATCTTGAACGCTACCAAATCTTCAATGAACTGAACAAAAGAACTGCAACACTTATGACAGAAGACAATTGTTTCGTTTATGCTTGCATTCAGGCTGGAGTAAATGAAGAAACTATTGACCACATGAGAGAAGTCATTCGTGTTAGAGACTTTCCTCAAAGTAAAGTACAAGAAATTTCTGACGCAACAAGTATAGCATTTAATGTTACCATTGGTTATTTCAATGACTCAAGACATAATGAAATAAAGAGATATATACCAAAAGAATGTGAAACTGTTCGAACTATTGACTTACTTCTTGTTGAAGACCACTACATGCTAAACGAAAGATTACCAATGACAACATACTTCATTCGCAACTATATAGAAATCTTGAAGGAGTGTGGTGGAATGAACATTGAAAAACAGATGAAAATATATACAATGAGAGATGGTAAATACATTGTTCGCATGGATAGAACTACACCGCTATGGGATGTTATGAAAACATTGTGGGAGTGCAAATATTTCGAATCTATTTCTTATGGAGAACTTTTCACATATACGACTGACTTATATAAACAGAACCTTGCACCATTTAAAGATTTGACATATGCTCCAAAGTATTGTGTACAACTGAAGAAGAAAGCCGAGTCAAAAGAAGTAAATAAAGCTAAATGTAAGTTCATTCCTGAGCACGTTTTCTTTGCTGACTTTGAGTGTAGCACAGACGGCTTTCATAAAGCGTTTAACATATGTTATGACAGTGAAGATGGTTCAGTTAGTGAAAGCATTTGGGGTCAGAACTGTGCAACAGAATTTTTGGAACGACTTCCTGACAAGAGTTTAATATATTTCCATAACCTCAGCTATGACATAAACTTTATCTTAAGACACATGACAGAAGTGAAAGGAACTCCCATCATTAAAGGTTCACGAACAATGCAAATAACTGGTTTATATAAAGGACGGGCAATTATTATAAAAGACTCTTACAGTGTTATAAATAAGAAACTTAAACTATTTCCTGCTATGTTTAACTTACAAACAGGACCGAAAGAAGTATTTCCATACAACTACTACAGCAGTACTTTGTTAGCAAATGACAACAGAACTGGTGTCATTTCTGAAGCATGTAAGTTTGTCAAGGATGCAGATACATTCATGAAGAACATATATTCCATCAAAGGTTGCAGAATAGATGAGAACCACTTCGACTTAGAAAAATATAGCACGTTTTACTGCAAACAAGATGTAAGAATTTTAAGAGAAGGTTTTGTAAAGTTCCGCAATGACTTATTGAAAGAGTTTGATTTAAACGTTTATGACTACGTTAGTATTTGTTCTATTGCTAACAAATTGTTTGAGAACAGAGTATACTTCCCGAATGGAAATCTTTATGACCTCTCAAATAAACCAAGAGAATTTATTTCGAGATGCATTCAAGGTGGAAGATATGTTGTCAGATAACATGAAACAAAAGAGCAAAAAGAAACTCATTGCTGACTTCGACGCTGTTTCATTATATCCATCGCTATAGCAAGATTGTATACTTTAGAAGGAATTCCAAAAGTATTGAAGGATGAGATGTTAAGCACAGAGTATCTCATGAGACATTTATTCGATGACGACCAAAAGGAACCCATTGGTGAAAAGTTTATGTCTGGCTTCTTTGTTCTCATTAAGATAACAGAGATTGGAATACATAGACACTTTCCTTTAATAGTTTGTGACCCTGAACTAAATCCAGAACTTAACGTTCCCAGAAGTTCAAACACTTGCTGTTTAATGTATGTTGACCATATAACATTACAGGACCTTATAAAATATCAAGGTGTCAAATGTGAAGTGTTGCAAGGATACTATTACGATGGAAACAGAGATTTGAGAATAAGAGATGAAGTTAAGAAATTGTTTGAGTTAAGGTTAAAGTATAAGAAAGAAGAAAACCCATTACAAGAAATTATAAAACTCATTCTGAACAGCATTTATGGCAAAACCATTTTATCTCCTATTGAGTCAAAAATAACCATAGTAGATGACAAAGATGCTATAAGATATGCTATAAGAAATTACAACCATATAGTGAAGTTCGAAGGTTTGGATGGTTCAGATAAAACTATTTTCAAGCTAACGAAAAGCATTTGCAGACACTTTAACTTTTGCCCACTTGGTGTAAATATTCTATCAATGTCAAAACGTATTATGAATGAAGTATTCTGTACTGCTGAGGACATGGGCTTGTATATAGCCTATCAGGATACGGACAGCATGCATATTTTCAATGAAGACATCCGCGTTTAGCTCAGGAATTTAAGAAGAGATATGGTCGCGAACTTATAGGAAAAACCTTGGTCAATTTCATAGCGACTTTGCAGAAATCACAAAAGATAAACAAAGTTTAGCTTATAAAAGTATTTTCTGTGGAAAGAAGACCTACATAGACTTACTCACTAACGATTTAAATGAAGTTGCATTTCACTGCAGAATGAAAGGTGTGAAGCAAGATGTTATTGCTTTAACCGCTAATGAAATGTTTCCTGACTCTGTTCAGTGTTTCTATGATGAAGATAAAGGTTTAATGGTTCCGCAAGGAAAATTTGACAAAGACTCTGAGTTCAGTGTTATGCAGTTATATAAAGCACTTCATGATGGTCAAGAGATTGGATTTGACTTATGTAAGTCTTCTAGTCCTTGCTTTGCTGAAAAGTTTAACTTCTCAATAACGACTAAAACAAGCTTTATTCGTAAGTTGAAGTTCTGAGGTCATTTATTTTTGTCAGCAATGAGGTCATTCGTGATAAAAATAAGCCGCTAGCGGCAAGGGCGAAGCCCATGTGATCATTTACAATACTGCGATGGTAGAGTTTAAGAGTTGTGCTTCAATGTAGAGACAGTCCTTATGGTCTGGAGGTAAGAACACTGGGCAGTTATGGTCATGAGTGGAGAACATGTCTATCCAAAACTCACGATTGAAGCCAGTTAATTTATAGTATTTAGGGTTAGGAAGTGGTGGTAGTTCTTGTATGACCAATGAACTCATTTTCAACGCCTTTGGCTATATTAGAGAAAAGAATAGCTTGCTTTCTATCCCAAATGCCAGGTGTTACAATCTTTGAAAATTCATTTTTCCTCGGAAGCATTGCATCATAATTGAAAACATTCTTGAAATCATCACTTGGTTCAGAGATTTGAAATCTTATACGTAATGGATTTTCTTTCTCTTTAGCGACTTCATTGAATGGTGAATATATAACAAACTGACAGTCATGTGTTCCATCTTCATTTTCATTAAATTCATAATGAAAGTCTATAAGTTGTGGCTGACTACCTTCTTCTTTCAGTTGTGCAAGAAACTCACGTAAAGGCTGTAAAGTTTGTACTTCAATGTTAAACTTTTTCTCGAACATTTCATTAAATGAAATCATACATTGCAACAATGTTGTATCGTCTTTAAAGTATTTGTATATGTGAATGTTTTGGGCGCTTAAAGACTGTTCGTCATTTTCTATCTCGACTTGAAGTATAAAGTCAACTTTCCTAAATGCACGTGTTATATACATATTTGTTATGCCAATATATTTTTCTTCATTTATGTTCACAATCCAGTCTGTTGGAAACTTAAACGTTACTCTGTTCCCCTTTATTTTGACGTCAGGGTTTTCACTACTGAACGCAACAGATAAAGGTATTTGTCTACATTTAGTTCCAATAAAAATAAACCATTTACTCTTTCTTCACTTCAGCTTCTTTAGCTTTTGCTTCAGCTTCTTCTCTAGCTTTTTCGCCAGTAGTCTTGGGTTCTTTTGTCTTCCAGCAGCTAATGCAGCAAGTTGTTTTTCACTAAGTTTTCTCTTTGGTCTCTCTGGCTTTTGTTCTTGTTTTGTTCCTTCAGTTCGGATAAAATTTGCTCGCGAATTTCTTTCTTCAATGCTTCAAAATCTATGACCCCTTGGGTCTTGTCCGTAGGGCTTGTCTGAGTCATTTGACTGCAGATAAAAAACAAATTAAAACTTTAACCGATGTAAAATGAGCTTGTCAAAATCAGAGCGAGAGTCTATTATATTAAATGACGCAAGAGGAATACAACATCCTTTCTATTACGTAAGTCAGAGTAAAGATGGTAAAATATACGTACGAAAAAGAAAGGTTCCATTAGCGAATGCAGAGAGCGACAACATTAAGGTGCATGGCACCGAGGGTGAAGCCCATATAAAACCTTCTGTTCAAACTGAGCACCAAAAGAACAAGAAGAAAAGAAGCCAGATGTACTTTCAATAACGAACCAAGAGCTTATTGCAAAGTTCGTGAATTTCATTGAAAAGCAAACCGAGTCAAAGAACCCTGACCACCAGTGAAAGAAGTTGAGACAAAAGAGAATGTACAGTTCATTGAAAATGTCAAGAAACAACTTCCACCACGAATTCCAAGAAGAAGAGTGAGAATAATGAAGAAATAGATATTTTTATCTGAAGTAAATACATGCAGAACGAACAGCTAAACGAATTTACTCCAGCAGAGCATATTCATCAGATTCGCTCATATTTCGATATCATAGACAATGCAGCTCAAATTGGTGACACTAATAAAATATTCTGACGCAAAGATTCCATCACAACCTGGAACTGCTAAAGATAACACATGGGTAACATTCAATCTCTCACCTCCTGGTGAAAATATGTTGGACCTTTACAATACATTCATTACGTATAAAGTGGAAGGTCAATTTATTGTAGATAAAGAAATTGGTTCAGGTTCCAATAAAACAAACCCACCAGGATTTTGGATTGGTTTCGATGACGCTTTCTATGCAGTTGCTGAATCAAATCCTTGCAAATGGTCGTATCGTATATTCTCAAGAACGCAAGAGAAGAAGCATATATAACTTCAAACTCACAAACTACCGAACAAATAAAGAAAGTAGATGTTTTCTCAAAGACTCGACATGAAGATGTATGGAGTCATTCGGGAACATGCAGAACAGGACAAATTGTTAGTGGTCCAATTACAGCAGGAAAATCATTTGATTTTAAGCTTCGTTTAAGAATTCCTGTTAAAGATTCCTTCCATTAGAAGCTATTCGATTTATTCCAGCTTTTGCAGGAAACATTCAGCTTAAAGTAAAGTTCAGTAGCGACGCCTTACAATGCACATCTATATCTGTAAATGATATCATTGCTTTCAATCCAACTCTTAAAGTTGCATTTGCTTCAGATTCAAATCCACCGACAAATAAATTTGTTCCATGGAATGAACCATTCACTATGATAACGAAGGCATAGAAGCTAGTGGAACAGTTACTATTACAACTGTAACCCAGCAACTATTTCGAACAAAGATGGATTTTAATGAATGTTTCATTCATCCAAAGTCATTCTCTTTAGACCCTAACATTTATACAGAACTTGTAGAACATTATACAAACGAGGCTTTATGTTTTCCTGTTAAAGTTATGGATTGGATTCCTATGGACGGTTCATTCTCAAAGAATACAGATAGTTCAAGTGCAACATTTACAGCAGCTTATACGCCTATTAATGTTAAAAGTATTTGGGCACTATTTAGAAAGAAAGACAACTATTATGTTAATTTTGAGAACCCTAAGTTTAAATATCTTCAGCTTTCCATGGGAGCTTATGGAAATATGCCTGCAGAACCTGAAAAATCATATGGACCTGTATTTTATGAAATGGTTGCGAACGCTTGCAATACAAACAATGATATGATAGGATTTAATGAAGATGTTATGAGGTCATTGGTGGATGATGGTAGTGTGGAACATAAATGGGATAGCTATGACAACACACATTTCTTATGTGGTTTTCCAACAGAACTTTTGCTTCCAGCAAGGTCAAACATCTACTGCTCCAATAACATACAAATTGTCTGTTAAAGGACCTATTGAACTAGCAACTGAAAATGTACCAAAGCCACTTATTGGATTTATGAGGGATTGTTGCTTTGCAATACAAGTAAGACAGTCAGGCATACCAATAATAAGATTGACGACTATAACTTAGCACTGACGACAGTGAGGAATAAAGGATGAACGTTTATTTTTAAAGCTTATAAATGAGTTCTTCATCAAGCTCTCGTGAACCTTCACCATCTATGAAACAAACTTTACCAAACGATTATGGAGCACCTATTGAATATTTCTTACGAGCTGCACAATGGCAAAGAGCAGTCTCACCAAGGTTAGGTGTTCCACCAGCTCCTGTCAAAAATAGCATTTGGTCAAGTCCTTATATAAGATATGGTCTCCCACTAGGTTTGCTAGTTACAGCAGGAGCAGTAATGATGTTGAAAAGAAATAAAGCAAATGTTGTAAATAATACTGAAGTAGCTGAAGTTAAACAAACTCCGACACCTTCGCCAAAACCAACGTCAAAACCAACGCCTTCACAAACAACACCTTCAATGACTCCTGAACCTATGAAAGTACAAACTCCTGTTCAAAAGTCAACTCCAAAACCGACTCCAACATTTAAACCAGAACCCACACCACAAATAAATTGTAAAACTCCTGCGTTTCCTTACTGAAAAATAACGTTATTTTTATTTAATATTAAAATTTTTATTTGATTGAAATGACAAATAAAGTCACTGAAGCAATGAAACAAAAGTTTTTGGTAGAATACATTAAATCAGGAACTATTCCAGAAGGTTTTTACATTCATACTATGAAGGATGGTAGAGTTCAGTTTAGAAAGATAAAGCAACCATTAGATAAAGAAGGAATTTTGAGAAAGATTAAACTTCATGAGGACAACATTGCTGAACTTAAGAAGAAGTTAGAAGAGTTGGAGAAAGGAAGAGAGTTATAAAGCAATGAATTCAAGTGGGTGAAAACCGGGTGAAAAAAGAGGTGAGATTTCACCACTTCACCTAAATTTATTTTTGTGCTATGTTTTCATACGTGTGATGGTGGTGATATCATTATTTTTAAGTTTATTTTTTTAAAATTATTTTTATTTTATTTTTATGTAAATGACAGAACAAAAGCAACTCATACAAATCAAAACATATAACAAACATACATTTAAACATTTATTCTTCCTTCCTGAGTATAACATGTTCTTTACACTTCATCCTAGACCAGTTGACTATACACTGACTGTTTATAAAGATTGTCATGGTAGTTTTATAAAAACTTATGATGATGAAGGTAAGTTAACAAGACTATGCATTTCAAAACTTGAGAAACTTTATGACTTCAAGTATGACTACAATAGAGTTAACACTGATGATGAAGATATTGAAGAAAATTTATGAGAACGTTTATTTTCATTAGTGAGTTCGTTAGTGAGGTGAAATTGTTGGCGGCTTTGTAAATATTTAAGGTTAAGTTAGTTTTTGCGTTCATGTTGTAAAATATACGTTAACGGTTTTGTAAAGTGTCAAATTCACAAGTATTGGGTAAGGTGGAACGCAGTGCCACCATACCCAAGACTGGTGTACTAACTATAAAAATATAATTTTGAGATAATTATGTAAATAATATTTTAAATATTTGAATTTGAGGTATAATTTTATAGTAAAAAGGTCAGGCGAGTGGGTCTTCCAGGCGCGTTGCGCCCTCTAACCCCTAAGAAATTTTGCTCTCTACCCCCTAAATTTTTCCAAAGTTTATTCCAACAAAAACTAGAATGTCATTCCATAATTGGGACGAAGTCATTGCGCACTTTTCTACGCACCAACCAACACCAGAGCAGTTAGAAGTGCTTGAGAAGATGAAGGAGGAGACTCTGGAGTACTTGAGACAACAAATTGCAAATTACAATTCGAAGATTGACGAAACAGTCTATAGAGTCTCATCGGCAGAGTCACATATAGAAGTGGACCAGTTGGTCAGTGACTTATTATATTATACTGCTGAACGAAACAAATTATATAACAAATTGAAAGAATTGGAATAAAAAATTAATATTTTACTTATATTTTTTTAAAAAAAACTTTTTTATTCGAAAAAATTTATGAACATTTTATGTTATTATCGTGATTGCACAGAAGAAGATGCTGCAAAAATGTATAAAGAGCACATTATTGATAAAATTCAAGATCAATTGGAATTTAATCAATACTTTACACGTCAGTGGGACATTCATAAACAACAGTGGATAGCCGCTGCCAGACCAAATGAATTAACCGTTGTGAATAACGTTTCTGAATCTTTATTTAAAAAGATAAAATATCACGATTTTGGCTGCGTTAAAAATCAAAGAATTGATGTTTTTGTCAAAAATCTTTTAGAAGAAGTTGCACCCAATTACTTTTATCGTATTAAAAACGATTTACTTCAAACAGGTTTTATTCCTTCAATTAGAATTCGCGAGCCTCGATTGACAGATTATAAAACAAAATTGAAAAGAGAAGTTCAATCACGTTTATACCAAGTATTAAATTTTGTTCAGAATCAAGAAGCCAATTTGAATCCATTAAGATTTTGATTGGAAAATGCTGAAGAAAAACTTTCTCAAATAAATGAGAAGATACAAAATTCAATTACATATTTAAGATCGTTTGAAATTCCAAATGAATTGTTAGATACGTATATGTTAGAAATTAATGAATTTTGTTATAATTCTAGGTCAGGTGAGTGGGGCTTCCAGGCGCGTTGCGCCCTCTAGCCCCTAAGAAATTTTGCCCAAGACCCAAGAGGAGGACCGAACCCCAGCCGACCAGCCGGTGACAAAACCAAAACCGTTGTTATTTACATCATATGAATGGTGTCACTTTTTAAATATCACTTTTTGTATCACTTTTCACAATATATATATGTTTTCATGTTTTGTCACTTTTTTGTCACTTTTCGGGTAAAAACATTTTTATTATTATATATAAATGAATTTTACTAAACCTCCGTTACCATTTTTTGGAAATAAGAGTAGATGTGAAGATATTATATTGAGAGAACTTAAGAAACTACCGAATCGTCTAACATTTGTAGATTTGTTCGGTGGAAGTTTCTATATATCCCATTTGTGCCATACAATATTCCCAGACTCAAAGATTATATGCAATGACTTCGACAACTATATGGACCGTCTCAAACATATTCCAGACACAAACAATATATTGACTGAGTTGAAAGAAAAGATTCAGATAGGTAAAATGGAACGTATACCGTTAGATAAGAAAGATATTGTGAGAGAGGTTTTGAAACAAGCAGAATATATAGACTGGGATAGTATATCTGCTAGATTATTATATAGTGGAGTGATACGAGTTCATGACATTGAGACACTGAGTAGGGGTAATTTTAGCTAAAAGTGACACGCCTGTAAAAAGTGACACACCCGTGAAGGGTGTGATTACCGATCGGTAATTTCGACAGTTTAGAATTTAAAATTTTTTATGGAACTGTTGCGAGTTTCATAAAGAATTTAAGGAATATAAGCAAAGATTTGAATCAAAATCTTAGACCTAAGCCGCTCGATTCGCTCGCGGCTTCCGCGAATTACAGATCAGCAAAGATTTGAATCAAAATCTTCGAACTAAGCCGATCGCTTCGCTCGCGGCTTTCTTTATTATTTTAAATTTGCATATTTCCATCAAAAGTTCATAAGGTAAAAAATTTCGTTTATTTTTACTAAGAAAAAAAAGTTTTTGATAATAAATCTATTTTATTTCGAAAAAGTAGCAATAATCGTAAAAGGGTATTGATAGGCTTGCTAAAGTAACTAATTTTAGCTGTCAAATACTTTTGTATTTTGAAGTAAATTAGTATAAATTTGTTTTTACTTTTATTTCGAAAAAGTAGCAATAATCGTAAAAGGGAATTGATAGGCTTGCTAAAGTAACTAATTTTAGCTGTCAAATACTTTTGTATTTTGAAGTAAATTAGTATAAATTTGATATTATTTTAACTCCCTTTGAAAACCTCAATTTTCCATACAGAAGGAACGGGAATAGCATCCAATATTCCCTGAGAATGGTTGCGCATTCTCAGTTCCCTCTATATTTCGAACGAAGCTCTCATCGGTCTTTTTTTTAATACTAAACGTTTTTTTTCCTGTCACTTTTAGCTAAAATTTGGGTTTGCCTTGAGACACTTATGTCAAAAGTTTTATATCTCAACTATACAAATGTTTTCAAAGAGGACATAGAAAAATATATTGAGGGTATAGAGTTTGTGAGATGTCATTGGACAGAGTTGTATGAAAAATATAAAGACAAGGAAAATGTTTTCTTTATAGTGGACCCGCCGTTCTATAACACATGGGATTTTCAATACCAAGTTGACTGGACTTTGAGAGACTCTTTAGAAACTTTAGACGTTATACATAACCATCCATGCTTTTACTTTACATCCGATAAAAGTGGTTTGGAAACTGTTATGAGATGGTTAGAAGACATACATGACTATGAGTTTAGATATGACAAGATAGAGTATGAGAGAGGTCCCATAAACTGGAGAAAGTGTCATAACAAAGAAATTTTATTAGTAAGTAAATGTGGTTTGAAATAGGACTACTTGTTTTAGGTTTTTTCCATTGTGTCATTTATTTATTTGACGTGGCAGAAAAGTACAGAGAATATGAAGATGAACCAATGCCTGCAAATGTTCAGCATATGTACTCGTAATAGATATTTTTATCTAATATTAAATGGACGCACAGAACTTAGCGAATGCACAGCAACCTGGACAACCAAACCCAGAGAATATTCCAAATGAAGTTAGAATACAAACTGCAATGGCAAACTATGGTCAAGTGCCAACAGATGTACAAATGCAAACTGCCATGTCAAATGACGCTGCGTTAGGTTTGCCACCATGGTATGCAAATATGAGATGGAAAGAGTTTTATACAAACCCTGAAGTGGGATATAAACAACTTTATGCAGATGACGCGAACACAGGAGTTGACCCAGAATATGTTTTCTACCAGAGGAGAAACAGAATGTATGAGCTCCAGTTAAAGAATGCTATGGAACTCAACAGGAAACGCAAAAGACTAGGTGGACATTAGATTTTTACACGTAGTAAAATGGGTTTCTTCAGTAGTATTGGAAACTTCTTCAGAAGAGTTGGAAGAGGTATATGGAATGGCGTCAAAACCGTAGGAAGAGGAATTTGGAACGGTGTCAAAAATATTGGTAAAAGAGTAGGTCAGTTCGTTGGTATTATACCTAAAGACCCTGAACCAGAAGAACAAGCCCCTGTTATACAACAACCTGAACCTGCACCACAGTCTAGTTGGCAACCAAATCCAACACCTCAACCGTATTAAAAAATTATATTTTTATCGTTCGATAGTAGTTGTATATGAAACTAAGTTCTAAGTAAAACGCATGGTATAATGGAATTATTCTTTTTCTTCCATCTGTAGTAAACCATACTTGAAAGTCTGAAATACTTCCACTCGGCGGTTCATATAGCTTTGTAGGTTTTTCGTAAAAGTCATTTGCCAAGCATAAGAAAGAGTTTTGGGCGCCAGAAAATGAAGCATGAACTATCACAGCATCTTGGTCGAAAACATCTTTAAATAAATATGGTTCATCTCTTGCATATCGACTGTAGATATTTGCTAAAGGAAGTTCGACTTTCTGATTTAACATTCTTTGCAAATAATACCATGACATTGCAGTGAATTCTGTATATATTTGTTCGTCTTTATTTGGATTGTTTTCGTAGATTTGAAATGACACTTGTGAATTTTGTTTGTCATATACAATTCTCACATAAAGTGTGCTATCGGTATTTGCATATTCATCAGCATATTTTGCATAACATGAATTTATTTTATCTTCTATATTTTTTAACGCAGTCTGTAGAGAAGATGAAAGGTCAACTTGTATTAGCTCAATTTCTTCTCACATTTTTCGTTTCCCTTCAGATATATAATCTATATGAAACCTTACAATAAATGGAAAACTTTTATCTTCTACAGACACAAATTTTATTCTTCGAAAGCCAATAGATTTAGTAACAGATGGGTCTCTTAACCATCTTAATGGGTAGTCAAAACGATAGCCTTCATGCTTTATAGTATCTAAGTCAAACTTTTGACCGACATTAGTAAAAAGTTCATCTAATGGTTTAGTTGTAGCAACTCTAGAATTTTCTTTTTCTATTGGAAGCATATTTTATCTATAATAAAAATGTCAAATGAAACAGCGTCTATGAGAGAAATACAACACAACCGACAACTCATTATGCAAGCTCTAAATAAGAACACAACAAACTTTTCAAACTATGCTAAAATATCTGAGTCATTGAAAGAAGGAAACCTAAAACTGACAATAAACCCTATGACAGATGAGTTTCTGTTTCAAGACAATAAAAACAATACTGTCTGTATAAATCCAACAAAAGGAACTTTAAACGAGAAACCTATAAATGAACTTCTTTTGAAAGCAGATGTTGACAACAAAGCTGACAAAGAATATGTCATTGAAAAAGCTCAAGAAGAACATGACAGAGCAGATGCAACATATGCAACAAAAGATGACGTTGAAAATAAAGCTGACAAAGAAACTGTAGATATGTTGGCACAAACGGTTTCAAGTCATGACAGAGCTTTAATGGAAGATGGACAACAGTTGAAAGAGCTTGAGAAAGGTGTTACAGAGTTAAGGAATACAAAAGCAGACTTGACATGGATAACTGGATATGTAGATGCAACAAAAGAATATATTTTTGCATGGACAGAAGGAACATATCCACAAAAACAGCATACACATTCTATATCTGATATTACAAACTTACAAGAAACCTTAAACAGGAAAAGTGACGTTGGACATACACATACCATTGCAAATATTACAAACTTACAAGAAACATTAGAGACAAAAGCAAATAAGACTCATACACATTCTATATCTGATATTACAAACTTACAAGAAACATTAAACAGGAAAAGTGACATTGGACATACACATACCATTGCAAATATTACAAACTTACAAGAAACATTAGAGACAAAAGCAGATAAAACGTATGTCAATGAAATATACCAAAGTTTAGTTGGAACAAAAAATATTGAAACTATTGTTGGTGACTTTTCTGTCAATGAAGAAAATAAATATTTTAGATGGCAGTTTGTACATTCCTTAAAAAATGGTATACGGTATAAACTCATTCCGAAAAATAACAATGAAATGTATGTAAGCTATATAAAGAATAATGGTACACAAGTTAAAGTTCCATTAGACAACAACTGCTACTTAAACTTATATGGAGACGAACAAAAGAAATATTTACGAGTTTATGAAATGGCAGATATGACATTGCCTGACCCATCTCCAGCACCATATTATTATGACTATGGAGATGACGACAAACCACCACATGTAGACCCAAAAAAGCAAACATTATATTTAGAATATTATAGATATAAAAGATATAATGCAATAGAAAAAACGAGAATAGTATATTATTATACAGATGACAGAAATAAATATTATAGTCAAGATTGTACATACCCTGAAAACATAAGATTATATTATAAAAAATATTCTGACACAAACCAGAAGAAACCAGAAATAGTTGCACTATATTTTAAGTTCAAAAGGGACAATCCTATAATATCTCATATGTTTGATTTAATGAACCCGGTAGGTTCTATTTATACATCTATGGATGCAAGAGGTCCTCAAGTAATGTTTGGTGTTGGTGTATGGGAACAAATAGTCGACAGGTTTTTGTATTGTGCAAACTCTTCAAAGGAAACAGGTGGAAGTAAAACGATTTCAGGTGAAAATTTACCTGCACACAGTCATTACATAAGATTAACTACATCTCAAGCAGGTTGGCATAAGCATAGATATTGGGATTGGAGAGGAATGACAAAAGGTCAAGGATATGATGTTAAAGACGACGTTAAGTTTGCTATAAATTGTTACTGGGATGACACGCAGGGAGAAGGAATCCATACACATTTCGTTACAGGATATACACATACAACGGGACAAAGTAAAGAATACATGCCACCTTACATGACAGTTTACGCATGGTATAGAATTGCTTAGTCGTCATTTTCAACTTCTTTAGCATATTCGTCTGGAGTTGTCTTATATTTGTTAGGAACTGTTTTTGAAAGTATACCACCTTGAACTTTGACAAGTTTGAAACGAGGTCTGACAATAGTAGTTTTATCTTCTGCTTGCAGTGTGTACATTTTGCCATGTTTGCCTAAAACTTCATAATATTCTCTTGTATACTTTCTTCTATTTTTACGAACACGAATGTGAGTACCTGTCGGGTTCCCATTGTTGTCATAGTCAATAGTATTTTCATATGGGTCGCGTTTAGGTATTTCTATTTTTACTTTGTCACCTTTCTGAAGTTTGAAGTCCGGCATTCTTTCTTGTTTGTCTCTTTTGACTAAATTATTAAATATATAGTCTTTCTCTAAGTCAGGGTTGTTTTTTATTTCTTCGGGGGAGTGGTTTCCCAAACCTTTTTGTTTACGGTTATTGTAAATATTTAAAACTTGTCTCATCTTTGCCTGGGAGAAGTGTCTATACTTGTCGTCATATGACATTTCATTTGCTTCACCACCTTGTGGTTGGTTTAAGTCTCTTAACATTTTATACATCCGTCAATGACACCAAGAGCAGAATGGTTTTGGTCGACAATGAAATATTGGTTTACATTTTTTGAACGCAGATAGTTTTTTACATCATCTGATTTGAAAGAACTTTCACAGTCAGATGTCAGTTTTGTTGGATGGTATTTGTCAACGAATATTGTCAAAGCAGTTTTCACATCTAAAATATTTTTGGACTGTAATGGTATGGCTTCACAGTATCTTGTGTTTTGACCAACAAATATTAACCAGTATGGAGGTCCATCTGTTCTAACTCTCGGAATGTTTTCCAAGATATCCATAAACCAAGCATTTGGTGTTGAACTAAAGATTTTTATCATGAGTGCTTTCTTTGTCGCTTTAGAAACATAGGGGTCCTTGTTTGGATTCGTCATTTTTTACCCTATAAGAAATGGGTTTATTTGGCGCATTAGCAGGAGTTGCATCCAGATTTTTGCCCGCAGTGGGAACAATAGCCAGAGGTGTATTTGGAGTTGGAAGGAAGATTTTGAGTACATTAGGTATACTTAAAGAGAAAGCACAACCTATTATACAAACTGTACAGAAAGGTTGGGATGTAGCACGAGATGCAACAAATCTTATTCCAAATCCTGAAACAAGAGGAAAAGTTCAAGGATGGATGGACAATGTAGGAAGACAAGCAGGAAATTATTATAACCAAGCAAATGAATACTATAACCAAGCAGGAAATTATATGAACCAAGGTGAAAGATTCTTTAACAGAGGATATAACCATGCACAACAGTGGGTAAACAATAACCAACCTCAACCGCCTCAAACGTGGGGAATGTAAAGTTTTTTATTGAGATGAAATGAACAATGCAGCATTGAGACAAATAAGTTCAAGATGGATTTGTCGGCTTCCAGCATTTAAACCACGTGTTTGTAAAGTTCTTCCTATACCTCAGGAAGTTTTAGACCGACTTCAAAAACCTCAACAACCAGTTGAAAACAAACCAAACTAAAATTTTTTACTGATATGAAATGACTGAAGAAGTTGAAACGGTAGATTTGACACCACAAACAAAAAGTTCAGAACCATTGTCAAAACCTGTCAAAGAACTTACAGATGAAGAGAAAAATTCAATAATAGAAAGTGCCAGATCTGGTAACTCAAATCCTAACTACAAAGTCACTTTTCATAGAAATGGAACGGCAAGTATCTCAAAAAAGAAACAGACTCTCACAAATAAAATATTGAAGTCTGAAGGAGCTTTCGAGACAACAGATGGAAAAGTTTACTTCACTGACCAACAGTTCATTATAGAACATCTCATTGACTTAGAGTCGAAGTATTCTAAACTTTACAACAAACACAAAAAGTTGAAAGGAAAACAAAAACAAATGGCATATGATATTTATGAAGATGTTGACGACACAACTGTTCCTGCAAGTGAAGTAAAGTCAGAGGAACCGAAAAGTGACGAAAAACCGATAGAAGAAGAAAAACCAAAAACTGAAGATAAACCAAAACCAAAGTTTAGTTTCCAAACTAAACCAAGTCAACCTTCATTAGCTGGTATGGGTTGGCGTCAAAGACTTATGGCAGCAGGCGGTTATGTAAAGTAAAGAAAAAAATATTTTTTTATTTTTATAAAAATGCCCCCATATAGAATGGACAGAAAGTCTGCTAGAATAAAAGCAGAGTTGCAAAGATATGGTTGGAGAGTTTCGAAGAATTTTAAATATAGGAAAGGAAGACCCATAAAAGTCTATGACAAATTGTCTGGTCTTCGCTACGAAATGGATTTGGAAACAGCACGTGCCAATTATCCAAACAGACTAGAGAGGTTAGAAGAAGAACGTCTTATGGACATGCCTTTCGATGTTAGTGAACCTCAAGTTGAAGGACACGACGGCTTTGCCAGATTCTACTGGAAACATGACGAACAATTGCATCCTTTGAGAAGGAAAAAAGGAAAAGGTGAAGACGTACATGCTCCCATGGAAAGAACAAGATATTCATATGAAAAGTATCGTGAAGTTAGAAGTCAAATTACATCTGGTCGAACCTTTACAGTAAACTTTGACGAAGGAAAGAACAAAGAAGGCTTCATGGGTGTACTGGCTGCAATTCAAGACGGAAATAAGAAAGGACACAATCTCAGATTGACCATAACAGATTTGGATGGTCAACATTTACTATGCACATGGCAATGAACAAACAGCCGCAAAACTTCTTGACGCTTTCAAAACTTCAAAGAGAGAACAAATGGTTGACTCCGACTCAGACCTTTTGAATGCAATTGAAGGAATTGCAAGTGTCAAGTTCGAATGGTACCAACCTAACCCTCAAGCAGTCAGACAACATGCTGGATACTTCCCGTTCATAAATAAGTCTGACATTGACTTGACAAGGTATGGAATTTACAATTCAATTGAAACAATTGTCAACGAACCTTGCATTCTTACATGTCTCAGGAACTCTGGTCTTGTTACAGATGAGAAGATGAAGTATCTTGAGTCATGTGTGAAGACAAGGTACATTCTCAGAGGTCAATTGGCAAAAATTGCACCGTTGGCAAATGTCAATATCCGAGTCAACATACCTACAGCTAAAGGTTCTTCACATGACGACTATGTTGTTGACAAAGACTTACCATGGTTGAAGATTGTAATTGTCCACAACCACTTCATGTTGAACGAAAGTCTTACAAACACATTGTTCGGAAAAGGCAAGTGCAACATTGTCAGAGCTGTTAACATTCTTTTCGAGAAAGGTTTGTTGGAACCAATTCCAGATGACAAGCTGACAGAAACTTTTGTACCAAAAGACGAAACAAACTTTTCATTGTTAGCAAGACCAAAAGTTGTTCCAGACAAAGTTCTAGTACAAAAGAGGTACACAGTTCCACAAGGAGTTGGATTGTTCGGATACCAACCTGAACCAGAAGAACTTCCAATGAGGTTGCAAGAACTTCAAGATGCTATAAACAAACTTCCATTGAGACATCCAATTGACGTCAAATTGTATTGGAGAGCATCTGAGTTAGGTCAGAAGGTTTTATATGAAACAGGTTGCTTCGATGATGTTTATGAGATAACAGGAGAAGTTTCGCAGAAGATAAGAGACTCACTTGAATTTCCACAAACTGGACCAATTGGTTGCGACAAGTTCGACTCAAACGAAAAGATATACTATGTCGACCTTAACGCTGCGTACATGAGGTTTGTCCAATATATTCCGACTGGAATTCCAAACTAAGATGGTGAGTTCCCGGGAAGGAACTCTACAGTTGGAAAAGTCATACAACAACTGTATGATATTAGGAAAGCTTCAAACCCCAAACTTGCAATGACACTCAAATTGCTTATGAATTCGACATGGGGATATTCCATTAAGAACCCTCAAGAGATGAAGAGTAAACATTATGAGAAGGTCGACAACTTTGTTGAAAGGTTTTCTCCTTTTGTTTTGAAGTACGAATTCACTCAAGGTCAAAGTGGCTTAGTAACCACATTAAAACCTATTGTCGAACATTGGTCTTACCCTCAGTTCGCAAAAGCAGTCCTTGACGAGTACAACAAATTCTTCTCGAAAGTCAAATCGAAAGTTAAGGTTTACTATGAGAACATTGACGCACTCATGACGAACGAAGAAGGATACAACAAACTCATTGAAATGGGTATGGTCGGTGAAAAGATGGGTCGATTCAAATTGGACAAAATTTTCACCGAAGTTCATGTCCTCTCCAAGCGTAAGTACTGGGGCATACTTGAAGACGGCACAGAAATAAAACATTGCATAAAATAAAAACGTTTTTTAAAAAAGTGACTTTTTTTAATGGCGTACATCCCTGAGCGCTTCGTCCAGTTCAACCAAATGTTGGTCTCGGACCCAGACAAGAGATATTCCAAGCCCGAACTCGACCGTCTCTTCAAAGAATGGATTACAGACTACAGAGGAGACGAGTGGTTGACAATTGAATTTGCTCGGGCTTGGAATTGCTACAGAAGCGTCTTAGACGTGGACCCAAGACTCACGTACAGAGGTTGGGATGTGGTCTTCACATTCCAAAATTGGTACGAACACCAAAAATAAAAACTTAAATTTACTTGGGGTTTCCCCCTAAAATAATTTTTTTTACTCTTAGAACCACTCGAGGTTCTCCTTACGGTTGTTGAGCTTGTCACCGTCAATGTGTCTGACCTTCGTCTTCTTGTCTGGATTTGGAACCCATTGAATTGCGACAAGCTTGCCCATGGAAATTGAACCGCGATTCCGAAGGTTAAGGTTCAAGTGTCCCAAGTTGTTGAGGACTGGGGTAAGAACCTTGCCTGTCTCCTTGTTGCGGATTTGGTATGGGTAGGGTTGGGAAATTTCGTAACCGTCATCGGCAACAAGGGTTGCCCATGTAGCGGCTTCAGGAACTTCTTCTTCTTCCTCTTCCTCTTCTTCGTGTTTCTCTTCTTCCTCGACAATTCCTTCTTCAATTTGGTACTCACGAATTACGGTGTTGCATGTTCTGTCCTTTCCGAGTGCCGCCCAGATGGTGTCAATCTCTTCGAAGAAACGGTAGATGAGTCGGGCAAGGTCTCGGTTCTCTCTCTCGTAATTGCGCAACGATTCTGAGAAATCGTTCAGGACTTTTTCATTGGAAGCTTGGTTCATGAGGAACTCACCTTTAAGTTCCTTCATCTCTGTCATAAGACTACTTTGGAGAGTCTTAACGGTGTTTGTCAGATGAGCTTTCAATTGGGCAATTTGAAGTTGAATTGGGCGCTTGTCTGCCAACCTTGAAAGGACATCTTCCATTGAGTTTGGCTTCGGTGCTTGTTCGGACATCGAAAAAATGAAGTGGTTTGAGAATGACGGTTTTACTTCAAAAAGCTTGTTATGACGGTTAAGTCATACAACAAGTTTAAAATAATATCTTGTTCTTCTTCTGAACGTTTGTTGTCTCTTCCGATAAAAGTTTCGAACATGAGAACCAAAAAACGTTTTTTGAGATTGCGGAAGAGTTCAGGCAAATTTTCATATTCTGGATATGTTGGGAGCAGTTCAAAACATCTGAGCTGACTTTCGGACAAAATTGGGACAATGTCAGAAAATTCATCTTTGGTCGGACTGCTTGAAGGTAAGTCCCTTACATGTAAGTAGCTCTGGTAAAGTCTTCTCATTTCTGCTAACTTTTGGAGTATAGCTTCGTAGTTTAGAAGTTTCAATTTTAATTGTCTTATTCCACTCTTTACTTCTAAACGGTAACTATCCATGAGGTCAAGGGTTGCTTTAGTTGCCTTAAGTGGAGCTATCTGTTCCTTGACTTCTGCAATTTTGGTTGCAATTGTGGTTTGAGCTCCTTCAAGTTCGCCGTCTATGTCGTTCTCAACACCTTCAACCATAGCTTGAAACTCTTCATCGGTCCATTGAGATTGGTGTGGGACGAATTTAACTTGCTTCATTCAAAAAATGAAAAAAATGTTTTTACTCTAAACGTTAAGGTTTACTGAATTGGTTGGATATCGCCTTCACAGGTTATGTAGAACGGCTGACCAGAGAAGTGGAACAGTGCTCTGAGAATTTGTATAATTCGTGGAATTGGACTCTCTCTGTTTGGAAGTTGTATCCACGGACGCTTTGCAAAGAACTTCAAGAGGGTTTCTTTCTTCATCTCCTTTATGTCGTCTACAGGAGTGTTTTCTGGTATTTGTAGGACAATTCCGGTTTCAATTTCGATTTTCAGCGCACCTCTTCCAGACAACCAGAAGCCGAGGGACTTGTTGGCTTTGTCCTTGCCCAAGTACTGCTTAACAACTTCATTTATCTCTATAAGGTAAATTGCCTCATCTAATGGCTCGATGTTGTCCATTGTTCTGTTTCAGAACTAGTCTTGTACTTTTTCAGAACTAGTCTTGTACTGTTTCAGAACAATACTTGTACTGTTTCAGAACAATACTTGTACTTTTTCAGAACAAGACTTGAACTTTTTCAGAACAAATTTCCCGTAAAAGCTCTCAATTTGTGAGAAAAATTTTCTGTTTCAGAACTAGTCTTGTACTTTTTCAGAACTAGTCTTGTACTGTTTCAGAACAATACTTGTACTGTTTCAGAACAATACTTGTACTGTTTCAGAACAATACTTGTACTGTTTCAGAACAATGTCCGACGTACCACCAACCGAGCCCATATCCCAACCAGCAGAACCGAAAGCTGCAGAACCACAACAGTCTCCTCAGCAACCTCAGTTCCAGCAAGTACCTCCGAATTACTACCAATTTCCACGTCAAGGTTACTACCCACCACAAGGCTTCCCGAACTATCCTCCTCAGCCTATGCCTTACTTCCCCAACCCATGGATGTTCCAGCAAGCTCCACCCCGGCAATTCCAATCTCAATCTCAATCCAAGAGAGACCAAGAGTTCGAGGAAGGTCTGAACCGTTTACGCAAAGAGTACGCTACAGCCCCGATGGAAGACGACAGGCTTTCAGTCTCTTCCCTAAGGTCGACCAATTCGACTCGTACCACAGATTCGGTTCGTGACCGTGAAGACTACCTCAAGCAGTCTGAGAGACTCTTCATCTTACAGCCATTTACAGCTGGAGCTCTCAAGAACATGCGCAATTACGAAGGTCAAACACCATCTGGAGACCGCAAAACAGACGTGCTTACAAGAGCAGTCCAACTGGTCAAGACAAAGACGGAGATAGTCGACTTCATTCTTGCAGCTTGCCCATACAAGTAAAAAATAAACAATTACGAGTTAAACTTTTTATTCTTTCTTTTCTGAGTTGTTTAGAGCTGGTTTCTCTTGTAGGAACCTTTCGTACTCTTCCATGGTCATGGAATTGCGAATTTGGTACGCAATTCCAGGTTCGTTATTTTTGAACCTTACGTATGTAACGCTTCCATCCTCCTCAGGGAAGTAAGCTGCTAACATCTGACCAAGTTTTCTCGGTGACTCGGAGCTCATAAAAAATGTCACTTTTTAAACGTTAAGTTTTTAGTCTTATTTTACCCTTTGTTTTTCATGGTAGTATTGGACTGCAATTTCTCCAAATTCTCTGTGTCGGAGTTCTTCAGCATTTTCCAAGGTGTACCTGGAGAACTCAAAGAAGTTGTCAAGAACATACTGCCATGCTGCTCTTCTGAGTTCGTCGGTATTTTGGAAGTGTTGCACCTTCAAGTCTTCGGACATGAAAAAATGTCACTTTTTATTTTAAACCGTTTTGGCATTTCTCATGAGTGAGTATAGTTCTGCCGAACCATTAGAAGAGAAAAAGTACCCTTGCTGGCAAAAGACAAAAATAGTTGCCTTAGTTGTCATTGCAATTGTACTCGTAATTGAATTCATTGTACTTCTCTTCACGTACATAAAACTCAGCAATGGTATTTGCTTTAAGAAGTTACCATCTTACTAAGACAAAACATTTACATTTTTCAAGCTTGACTTTTTACAATTTGAACTTTGTTTGCGTAGATATGAATTCTGAAAGAAGTATGAGGGTCTTGTATGACTTTATACTTCTCCCATATTTCATGTCTGTCAAACTTACCTGCCATGGACTCTTTCATAAGTTCCATGAAATCGTCTTCGGACAATCCGGGGAAAAGTATTATGTCAGTAAGTATTCTTTTAACATCCTTACTTAAACTCTTGGCTGTCTGTACACATATTACGACTGAAATGTTAAAGTGTCTGAGCTTCTTAAGAATTCGACACATGTCTTGTTCTCTATTCTTTAACAAAGGATGAGAGGCGAAATCATCTAAGATAAGAAGACATCTGTGAGGGTACGTTTTCCAATCGTAAGATTGCAATTTCTTCGAAATGTATTCTATCTCTTTCTGTTTGTTTCTGAAGTGTTTCTTCTCTAATATTCTCTGCATTTCCTCATTTGGGTCTTTAAACTTAGAATTTATATACTCATTTATAGCATTATATTTCAAAACCATTCTTTGGTACTTCTTTATCCAATCCAACAACTCAGTATCCTTTATACATACTAACTTAGACTTCTTTATAATATCTTTGAACGAATTGACGGTTTGGTCAAATTGACCAGAAGTCGAACAAATGACAACTAACTCATAGAATGGGTTCTTCTCATCTAGTTCTTGTTGTTGTGCAGCCATTTTAAGATAAGTGAAAGTCTTCCCCGACCCAGGTGGTGCATTTAGACCTGTTATACCATTCTGAGCAAATAAGAACTTGTCATGTATAGGTTTTATCTGAGCATTTTCTAACTTCCTCTTGTTCTTGTTTAAAACATTCTCGAATTTTTTGTCAATGTCAGCAAACTTTTTTTCTAACATATTTTTAGAAAAATTAAAATTTTTATCTTTTAGAAAATGTCTAGCGATTTCGCTATCTATATTCGAGACAAACTTTTTGACAGCAAAACATCTGTAGACCATAAAATCTTACATAGTCTAAACAAGAAAGGTGAATTTGTTCTAAAGTTCTGTTTCTGGGAATATGACAAGAACCATAAAACATTAAGCAGAGCAGTCTTAAAATTTGTCAATGACAGACTTGTTGACAGAGATGACGCCGATTGGAAAGATGAAGTCCAACAAAAGTTCTTAGAATGCAAAGAAGACACATGCGCTGTTCTTGAAGATGAAATAGAAAACAGAATAGAAGAGCTATTAAAGGACAAAGAACTTTTACATAAATATGGTTCGGAGAAATTTGACATAACTCCACCAGAAAAGAAGAAGAGAGAAAAGAAAGAAAAGAAAGTAGAAGAAGAGAAGAAAGAACCTGAACCAGAGCCAGTTCCACCGAAGAAGAAATTTGACATGTAAAAAT